AAACATAGACATTTAGACGTGTATTATTCCAATATTGATTAATCTAGTAAACCGATAAGAATTCTGAAAGCAGATTTGAATTTTTTACTTAATATCGACTTTCCATGTATTATTTTAATTTATCCAAAAATTAAAATATTCCATTTTTTTAATTACCCTTCTTTTAGGATTTAGAGGGATAAAATCAAAAATGTGGTAAAGTCGATTTCCAATAGACTTGACGACAAATTCAAATCGGTTTATCATATTGTTTCACTAAACCAATCGACTGAAATAGACCACGTCTAAATTCTTATGTTACAAGTGTGTAGGACAAGGCAGAACATCACCACTTCCAATCTAATCAAATTAACTTCCGTAATAAATTACGACATTTTCGACGAGACACAAAATGTTTGGAAATCCGATAAAAAGTTCCGAGAACCGCACTTATAACGAAAGCAAGATTTCTAAGATTAAAAAATCCTTTATTTGGACAACGAATTTTAAACTAATAAGGAACTTAACAACGTTTTATAGATAACTTAATTTAACACCAATTTTTAATTAGGTTTCAGGTAAATAATTACAAATATGTATAATATATATATGATATAATATATGTAATAATAATGCATATAATAATATGTATTGTGATAATAAGATTATAAGATGATAAATTACTGGCCAAAAAACAAAATATAGTAAATAGATACAAGACAAATTGATTACATTACAAATTACTTAATAATAGTTATAAAACATCACGAAAAAAAAAAAATACAAATATAGATTGTTCGGCCCAAATCACCCACTGAGGTAGCCTCTCATATTGGTGAAATTGGAGTTTCTAAATCAATTATACATAATAAATATAATTAGTAGTTGTTTACAAATTTTTGTGTTTATTATTTTTATTATTTTATAATATAGAGGTTTGAATTATTATACCGGTTAGACTGTTAAAGTACCTACTTAGTAGTTCTCTATTGTACGATGTTCATCTAGACTGGCCGCTGTTGCTATAGCCTTGATCCTCTCTTTATTTATCATTAGTGCGAAGAGAAGACTAAGGCTATAGCAACAGAGATCAGTGTTCGCCAGTTTACGCGATTTAAAACATTCCATACAATTCATTAACAAATTAACAATTCATTAGTTGTTTACAAATTTTTGTGTTTATTATTTTTATTATTTTATAATATAGAGGTTTGAATTATTATACCGGTTAGACTGTTAAAGTACCTACTTAGTAGTTCTCTATTGTACGATGTTCATCTAGACTGGCCGCTGTTACCATAGCCTTGATCCTCTTTTTATGTATCATTAGTGCGAAAAGAGGACCAAGGATATAGTAACAGAGACCAGTATCCGCCAGTTTACGCGATTTAAAACCTTCTATAAAATGAATTAAAATTCTAAAAATAATACTAGTCTTATATTCGATCTTAAGTATATGTTATTTTCTTATATATCTAATGATTCACAATATTAAATTAAAACTTTTGAATTTCTCATAATGAAAAACATATTATACTTATTAGAAAAAAAGTCTACCAGTGTACAGTAAAACCAAATTTTGCGAATTTTGAAGTTTGATTTATGTTTTCGTTCCTTAAATATGGTTTGGTCTAGTGATGACAACTCTAATATTTAATTAGAGCAAAGTGTGCCTTTTCACCTTTGATGATGCTATTAAAGATTTCAATATTCCAATTATTTTTCACAGTTATTAATGTATCTAAGTACTTAAAACTTTAGGTTTTCTCAAACACGTAGTTCTTTATTGTACGATGTTCATCTAGACTGGCCGCTGTTACCATAGCCTTGATCCTCTTTTTAAGTATCATTAGTACGAAAAGACGACCAAGGATATAGCAACAGAGACCAGTATCCGCGATTTAAAACCTTCTATAAAATGAATTAAAATTCTAAAAATAAATAAATCTTATATTCGATCCTAAGTATATGTTATTTTCTTATATATCTAATGATTAACAATATTAAATTAAAATTTTTGGATTTCTCATAATGAAAAACATATTATACTTATTAGATAAAAAAGTCTATTGGAGTACAGTACAAATTGTTCGTATTTTGAAGTTTGATTTGTGTTTTCGTTCCTTAAATATGGTTTGATATAGTGGTGACAACTCTAATATTCAATTAGAGCAAAGTGTACCTTTTCACCTTTGTTGATGCGATACAGATTTCAATATTCCAATTATTTTTCACAGTTATTAATGCACTTAAGTACTTAAAACTTTGGGTTTTCTCAAACATGTAGTTCTTTATTGTAAGTGACCAGTCACTTTTACTATAGCCTTGATCCTCTCTTTATTTATCATTAATCCGAAGGGAAGACCAAGACTATGGCAACAGAGACCAATGTACGCCTGCGGGATTCAAAACATTCCATAAAATGCATTCACTCCACACTCTAAAAATAAATAAATCTTATATTCGATCTTAAAAATATATTATTATCTTATATATCTAATGACTCACAATATTAAATTAACATTTTTGAATTTTTTATAATGAAAAACATAATATACTTATTAGAATAAAAAGTCTACCGGTGTACAGTACAAACAAATTTTGCGAATTTTGATGTTTGATTGGTGTTATCGTTCCTTAAATATAGTTATGTCTAGTGGAGACAATTCTAGAACATACGTTTATAAAATACGTTGTATAAAATATCCTCATCACGATTTGCATAGATTGACAGACTATTATAATTTATGTATTAAGTATTACCTATATATGAATTTATACGATAATTATTATAAGTATTTATTATTATTAACGCGACGTGCATAAACTATAGTAAATTATATAATAATTTTATGCACACGTGGAGTATTTACGAAGATTTTATAGGTACTATATAGGCATTCAATTTAAACCGTTAAAAATAAAGCACGAAATAGAACAATATGCCTATGCTAATTATAAATATACACGAAGCATTGAAGCAATAAGCATAATATAGTTAATAATATAGGTAGGTATAGGCACGTCTTTAGTTCTGAATATCTGAGACTGACTTAATTAATATTACGTCAATCATAATCAATAAATGTAATATTACGAAACAGAAACTATCTATAAAATCATTTCCTCTGATTTTTTTTGTGTTCACTGCATCGCGCGAGGGGGGGGGGGGTTAAAATCTTGAAAAACAGCCACTAAGCATTTAATATCGATTTCGTTATAAAACCTATGCACAATTATGGTAAAAGATAAAATTATAAAAGGAGAAAAAAGGGAGATAAAGAGAAATAGGGGAAGGGAAACTGAGAAAATTAATATGTCATCGTTCTCTCTTTTTAAACTTGGTCTTATTTTTCGGGTATAATATTGCGAAATATAAATCTTTACAATGTAAGAATACAAAACAGCATTTTAAAATCGAACTGTTGGTTATTTATTATTATACTGTAAATGTAAGGATATTAAATGAATCCGAAAACCTTGGGTAAGCCGCCGTTTTCAATCGTAGAATTCTAATGCTGATTCTTAGGTTATCGTTTCGTTTTCTTTATTTTTAATTGTCGGGAAAATGTTTAGAAATTGCCTACCATCCGCATATACAAATCCAACCTGGTGCGGCCGTTCTTGTCCGAAATATAGGGTTAAAAAATTAAACGGCCTGACCGGGAATCGAACCAAAGTCTCGTCGGACAATAGCCCCATCACTAAGTAATCTGATTTTTGACTTTTTACACTATTTTCCCTTGACTTGAAAGGGACTAACGTCTCGGGTGTGGAGTGGCACTGTGTTAGGGGAAGATGCAGCTCTTAACTTGTCTTAACCATCTCGAAAATAAGGAACAGTTGTTTTTTATGAAAAACGAGTGTGGCGTACAATGAGTTTTTAATTGAAAATTATAAATAGATAAATAGATGTGTTAAAAAAATTATAAACCCTAAAAAAAAATAATCAAAACAAGTTGGAACAATTATTTATAATAATATTTTTTTACAAGTTTTCCAAGAATAATATTATAATTACTGCCGAGTTTAAACGAATTCAGATAATTAAACCACCCAAAAAATTATTAGGTATAAAAAAAAAAAAAAAAAAAAAAAAAAAACAATAACAATAACTGACAAAGAAAATGAATACTTGTTGCTAATTAGCTAAATAATAATTAGAACAAGCGCGGGTCTGTGAATATATGAATATATTATTATTTATTGGGTTACCTATGTGGTTATTTCGCTTATTACATAAAAAAAAAAAAATTAACAGAAATAATTGACCTTATAAACAGGTCATTTTAATTAACAAAAAAAATAAAAAGTCTGAATCGACTTATTATAGCCATAAATTAATAAAGTCGTAAGTTATTATAGGTTAGAAGGTGAATGGCAAATAATAAAAAAAAAAAAATACTACCTATTCAATTTTAAGAACGTATCTAATTTTATTCAGATAAGTATTTAATATGAAACGTAACCCAGGGCATTATTAAAATTAAACAAAGGTTATAAGATAAAACAAACTACCGTGTATTTATTTGACAAAAAAATTTAATACTTTTAATAATAATATAGGTACTTTACCTGTCGTACTTACACGTCGACCTATAGAAATATATTATTATTATTATTATAAACATCTAGGTACAAAAAAAAAAAAAATATTCGTAAAATTATTATTAATATTAAATGTAGACAATATTTGAACTGATTTAAATTCTACATTTGTTGTTAAAAAAAAAATTAATATTTTTTAGGAGGTTTTCTATGCATACGGTAAGATTTTGCACACAAGCGTGTCCACTAAAATATAAATGATTTTTATTTTAGGTTTAGGAAATACTCTCAGGAGAGGACTAACTAAGTAAAGTCCAAAAGTCAAGGGAAATGAATACGCAGGGAATATTCACCAGAAAAAAAAAAAAATCCGCTGCGGTTAATTTGTTAATTTATTTTGTAGAAACGTTATTAAAAATCGTGTTATATATTATAATGTTACGGTTATTGTAGAAAATTGGATAACGTCAACTTTTCGTACAGTAGAACCGATTTTGTGATGTTAATTGTAATGTTTATTATCTTAAAGTTTGATTGTTGACCAATTAAAACTAACAGCACAAAATCGGTTTTAGTAAGCGAAAAGTTGACATAATTCAATTTTCAACATTAGCCCTAACTCATATTTTTACGTAATCTACATAATGCAAATATTAATATTTTGGATTCGAACGCATTACTTATATTATTAACTCTGACAAATTATCCTAGAAATAATTTTCAGAATTGAAGGAGTTTACAGTGTCGAAAACAGTTAACAGACAAAAAAAAAAAACAACAGATACGCGTAGAAATTACCGAACAGCGAATAGAGTTAACAAGAGTTGACGTAAAAACGCAAAAAAAGTTTTACTTTTAAAAATAATCCGTATATAAGTATACTTAAATATATCAGGACAATATAATAAATAATACGTAGTAGGTAGTATAATTACTTTAATTCAGTAGTGTTTCCAATTATTTTCTAAAACATAATAACATGAACAACAGTAGTCAGTACCTACTTATATAGATAATAATTACAGGTTATGACCTTTTTCACGCGACGTTACTTGTGCTCGGAATAGAAAGTTTTATGTGTATACCTACCTAATGCCGTTTATGCCGTTTGATTTCCGACTTTAGTACACGTATAATATGTTGTTAAGGTGAAATTTATTTGGTCTATGACTACCGTATTATTGTAACTTGTTGCGTCCCTCAAGGCCCCGGACATACAACAACCCCTGGCTCGGTGGCCCTGATATTCTATACCACGTCCCCCGAGTAACCGCTAATTTTCGAACGACGGCGACGGGCAATAAATTGGATTCTACAGATTTCGCAATTTTAAAATTATTGCCAACCTCTACGGGACGCGATATACCTAATGCACGAAGGTTACCGAAGCCCAATACGACGGTCTCATTAGCTATCGGCTTATTATTATTTTTTTTATTGAATTTAACACAGTAGTTTTTAACGCAAGTTCGATAACATGCGACGCATAAAATATAATGATAGAACAAAAGTAACGCGAAAAAAAATACTATTCTACCAGCAAAATGCTGGTAGAAAAAAGTTGTTCACAGAAAAAAAGAATCGTAATGTTTTACTAATATATTTCGTACATTTTCCCTTTTTTTCACTTTAAACCTTTTTTATTGGGAAAACTACAGGGAAAATCAAAAAATAACTTACCCTAAAGTACCAACCCGAGAAAATTTCCTTTAAGAAAAAGGTCTACATCGAAGTAAGCTTTCTGGTAGAAAAAGGGCGTGCACGCAAAAAAGAAAATAAACATCTTTGTAAAAACATTACATTCCTTGCTACACTCAGTATCTAAAATTAATAATATAGGTATATCAGGTAAAAATTTGTATGACTCAAAAAGGTACAAGTATAAATGTGCATCATTAAAAAATGTAGGTATTATTAAAAATGTGTAATTGATAAAATGGTTAACATTGGTATGATAATGTATTTGTTTTCAATTAAATAAAAAACCAACGTTATGAAAAGCGAATGGAATAAAACGTTGATGGATTCAAATTTCTTTATTACAAATTGCTAAAATATTAATGCAATCGTATTGGCATTGTTAAGCCTGAAAAACGGGATGGAAAATATTATTGATTTTGCAGAAAAATTCTTAGACGTAATTTACCTTATATACGAATAAAAAAAAAAAACTTAGGTATCTAATATACAAAATATACCGGGGTCACAATTTACATTGTATACAACTATGACATTTTTTTTTTTTTTGGGGGGGGGGAGAGGAGGAAGTGACTTACTGACCAGGAATACACAACATTACAATACAATTAATTATTCATTAATACAATAAGATCATAAGTTGTGCGTAACTCCGGGGGATATAACAGTACCAAATTGTCTTATTGTTATTATTATTATTAATATTATTCGTCATTCGGGTTTCAGCCGATAGGGTTTTTGGATATACAGACGAGAGGAAGTATACGACAACGAATATCGATAAAAAAAAAACAACGCGTTATACATTAATAATTGTTCCGTCAATATGTTTTCACAAAATAATACGGCGGAGAAAAAAAATGTCCGGCGAAAAAAAAACGAACCATTAACGGATTCATTATGTAGCGTCCGCCGTCGGTGATATAATAGTGCAAATATGTTATAGAAATCTATAACTACAATTACCGCCGTCTATTACTATACAACAAAAACTCGTATATAGGTAGTTGTTACGCGATAACAGACAAGAAGTGGCCGACACTATCCTATAACACCGTCTGGTGTCAAGGAACTATAGTAATAACGGTGTGTTAAGGAACGTATCTACCTGATATTATGATATTGCGATATAGTAAACGGAATTTTTTTTTTTTTGAATCTTTCAGCGTTGCCGCCGCCAATGTGTTTTACTCAAAATGGTGGATAAAATGATTCAAATTTATAAAAAAAAAAAAAAAAAAAGAGATTTACTCATATACATCAACAATAAAACGAGTTTCATAAGATTTAGCTTAATTTATAAATACGCTATTATAATTTGCATAAGACGAATTGTACAATTTGTATTGACATAACCATTAAATTGCAGTAAGACGAAAATATACCCATTTTAAAACCGTAGGTAGAATAGATAGACACTTATAATTATTAAATTACAAGTACGGGTACATAATGTACCAACTCAAAGAACTGATTATTTTTCATCTTGATAAAATTGAAAAACACAAATTTCTATAGAAATTTTATTAATTCTTAATAACATTATGTGTTAAAAAAAAATATATATTAATTATTTAAATAACGAAAAATGCCAAAAAAGATTACAGATTACGTTCGGTTGACCAACCAGCGATTTATAACAACAATGTTACAATTAGGATTAAAGATATTTATAAACTTAGATAACTAAAATATAAGTTAGTTCAGTCATATATATACATTATATATTCTATAATATAGAATATTGGAAAAAATTATTATAAAATAGTTCGAAAAAATCTACGACAAGTTCAAAATAAAAAAAGTAACTTTTAGTGACTTTAAAGATAAAAAGGGGACTTTAAGTGACTTGCAAAAAAAGTGACCGAATGGCAACTCTGAACTTTGCAAGATAAAGCAATTAGTCTCGACAAAATTAATTACAGAAGATTGAAAACAAAAAAAAAAAAAACAAACATTATAATATACAAGAGTTGAAACCTAAATAAGAGCAGTTCGGCGTTTAAAATAAAAGAAACTGCGGCTCGGATGACCTCTTGTAATTGAGAAGAAAAAAAGGCGCTGGGAATCAGGAGGAATATTGA